AGCGTATAGTGAAGATCCACTATACGCTAGAAGATACCCAATATGACGATGACTTTATCGTATTGGATTTGGATGACAAATTCGATGTCATCCTTGGAATACCGTGGCTCAGAAGGTACGAACCACGGGTAAACTGGCAACATCGAACAGTAACGATGCCTGCCGCTTGTTCATCAGATGGCCATCTGATGAACGTTTTGGAGCGTCCACAAGCGTGTGGATGTACTACGAGTGAGTGCGATGGCCTCACTTGTGGTACGGTCGTTTGTACGACTGCACAAAACCTTAGTGTAACAAACGGTTACACTTGGGAGCAAGATCCCGGCGGCTGTGAGGAGACACAGGCTGCGCCGAAGGTCCACCACTCGAATAAGTCGAGTGGACCAGGACAAAGATGTATCCCTAGCGGGGAACATCTAGAAGAGAAACAATCGATCGCTCAAGTTAAGCGAAACGATAATCCTAGATCGACTGGAGAGTCTTTCGTAGAGGATCTCGCTGTGGTTGCGCAACCACAGCTAGAGGAAATAAAGGGAATAAGTCCCGATAATACAAATACGGCGGAAATAAGTTCCCCGAAACCCGCGGGAATAAGTCCCCGGGAAGCCGAAGGAATAAGTCCTTCGAAGCCTGAGGGAATAAGTCCCCAGGAAATGACAGAGACATTGAATGTCATAGTCAATAACGGATCAAGTGTAGGCGCTTATACACTTGATCTGATTGCGCCTCCGAAGTTAACTTCGGAGATCACTCAGTTGCCAACGCTCGAACATAAAAGGTTCTTGCGTGATCTGCGTAGTGGCAAAGTCAAGCAGATCTGCATACTCGTCGCTGACGACGAGTGTGTAACCGACATAAGGTCAGCAACAGTGTTCACTGAGAACGAGAGAGTTCTCAGTAGTTCATCTATGGACGAGAGTGTCCTAGATGAAAAGACACGAATTGAGCGATATGACTCCCAATCATGGGAATCGCTCAAGAAAAATCCTCTCTATGAAGATTTGGTTGAATTCAAGGATGTATTCCCTGAAACTGTTCCGTGCGAATTACCGAAGGATAAAGGTATTCGACACGAGGTCGAGCTTAAACCAGGCTCGAAGTACTGTGTCATGAAGCAGTGGCCACTGCCTCGTGAACAAGTACTTGCGATCGACAAGTTCTTTGCCGATCGTTTAGCTGCGGGCCATGTGAGGGAATCAACTTCCCCACATAGCTCTCCGACCTTCTGTGTGCGAAAAGCAACAGGAGGGTGGCGGATAGTGCACGCGTTCAACAAATTGAACGCTGCAACGGTACCGGCTCAGACGCCGATACCAAGGAAGGACGTAATCATTGATGGTATGTCAAAGAGTACCATCTTTTCGTCCATGGATTTGATGGATGGCTTCTATCAAATCCTTATGCGGGAACGGGATATACCCTATACCGCAGTTAGCACGCCTAGCGGCATGCTCTGGGAATGGCTAGTAATGCCACAAGGGCTCAGTAATGCCCCTGCCACGTTCAACAGATGTGTATCACATCTGTTGAGACCAGTACGAGAATTCGCGCCGAGTTATTTCGATGACGTCTTCATCCATAGTCGAGCTATGGATGGAAAGTCGGACGTTGAGGTTCACAGGTACCACGTCCGACAGGTTCTTACAATCATGCGAAAGCATCAATTGTATGCAAACCTCAAGAAGTGTATATTTGCCGCAAGCGAAATACCACTTCTTGGGTGCATCGTTGGTAAGAACGGTGTACGTCCTGATCCCGAAAAGATCAAGGCGATCACCGACTGGCCTGTGCCAGTTTATGTCAAAGGTCTTCGAAAATTCCTTGGGCTAGCGGCGTATTTGCATAAGTATTCACGCAATTACGCCGACATGACTGTGCACCTCTCTCGTTTGTTGAAAAAGAACGAGAGGTGGTTATGGAACGCTGAATGTCAACGCTCCTTTGAGGGTATCAAGCAGAGCTTGATAGAATCCCCAGTCCTAGCAATAGCCAATCAGGACAGGCCATTTCATGTGGTCTGTGATGCCAGCGATTTCGCAATCGGCTGTGCATTAATGCAGTACGATCTTGAAGGCGTTAAACGCGTCGTCTGCTATCAGTCGCGTCAGCTGCAACCAGCTGAGCGGAACTATCCAGTGCATGACAAGGAACTCCTTGCCATGAAGTATGCACTCGCGAAGTTCAGAGTCTATCTATTAGGAGATAGACCCTTCGTTGTTTACACTGACCATGCGTCATTACGCACGGCAGTGAACAGCCCGCACCTTTCACAACGAATGGCGCGGTGGTTGTCATTCTTTGCGGAATACAACTTTACGGTCGAGTACAAACCAGAACGACTTAATGTCGTCGCTGATGCACTCTCACGTCGTCCCGACTTTGAAACAGTCGCGAAACCCAACAGTGAGACAGTCACTGTTGCGGTTATGACGTCCTCAGTCCCATCTACAACGTTGTATGATGATGTGAGGCGGGCATACGCCCAAGATGGTGAGATAGTGAAGTTGTTGACACATCTCTCCCAACAATCTCGAGAATCGTTGAAACGATTGTCGTCTGCGTATCGATCTGCATCAGATCGATACACTACTCGTAACGGTTTACTGTACTATACAGCCGTTTCTGGTGACACACCACGTGTTGTCATTCCAGATGATACTGATCTGCGTTTGCGGATCATGTTCGAGTATCACGATGCTCCTATAGGAGGACATCGTGGCCGAGAGAAAACATATCTCACGGTAAGTCGAGACTTTTACTGGCCCCGCCAGTATCAGTTTGTGCGAAAGTATGTTCGCGCATGCGAAGTCTGTCAACGAGTGAAGTCAAGTCCTTCACTGCGTGCACCTTTACAGCCTCTACCGGTTCCGGCTGAGTGCTGGGAATCCATCTCAATGGATTTCGTCTTTGGGTTACCCAAAGACGCACGCGGGAATACGGGTATTCTCGTATTTGTTGACAGATTCAGCAAAATGGTACACCTTGTGGCTGTACCAGAGACAATCACGGCAAGTGGCTGTGCTTGTGTCTTTATTGACACCATCTTCCGACTTCATGGGTTGCCCCGTGAACTCGTATCAGACAGAGATCCACGATTCACTGCTGATTTCTGGCGTTCCGTGTTCAAATCACTCGGAACGCGCTTGAAAAAGTCGTCATCTGTTCATCCAGAGTCAGGAGGTCAGACGGAACGTGCCAATCGTGTCCTTGAAGAGATAATTTGAGGATACGTACACTCCTTTAAGAGTTAGAGTGAGTTTTTGCCAATGGTAGAGTTTGCCATCAACAACTCGGTGCATGCGTCCACGACACATACACCGTTTTACGTGAATGGCTTGCGCCATCCGCGTGTACCCACCTTACTAGAGTGTAACTCTGGTTTAAAGGGGGGGGACTCGCGCGAGCAAAAACCGATTTGGTTCACGCTCATCACGCTCTGACGAAGAGGTCATTGCGTTTGATGCCGATATCGATAACATCGATATCGAAGAAGATGATGCCAGTGAGAGTGCGGAAGCCCTCACTGAAGAAGATGATCCCAGTGAGAGTGCGGAAGCCCTCACTGAAGAAAAGGTTGATGTTGCTGCAGTGCGCTCACAGCACACTGAAGCTAACGAGTCATCAGATGAGTTCATACTGGCTCGTGAAACGGTAGTCCGTTTTGTGCAAGACTCCATCGCCGAAGCGGTGGATAAGCAAAAGCAAAACGCTGACAAGAATGGAAGGGCAAACACTCTTTTATTTAATAAAGGTGACTTAGTCCTACTGTCTACGGTTAATCTAACAAAGCATGTAGTGACTAACTTGGGTAGCAGTAAACTACTACCCAAGTACATTGGCCCATTTCGTGTATTGCACCGCCTAGGCAATGCATACACGATCGAGTTACCACGTAAGATGCGAACGCATCCCACGTTTTACGTTGGTCGGCTTAAGCCGTACCATCAGTACGCTGCTTCTTCCGATGAAGAACGCCCTTGCGCTCAAGCATCTCGCAGAGAGCCTTGTGCTCCCGATGGTGGGCATCAACAAGGGTCTGAAGAGCAGCTATCTCATCCCGAGACCGATCAGCAATCCCACGAGCTACCCTTAGCTCGTCACGAAGAGATGTCAGAGATCTCTCGTTCTCAAGCTGAGCAAAGGCAAACTCAGCTCGATGCTTCGAGGCAGTGTCCGCCATTTGGAGACGCCTATTCCGCTCATGTTCGAGATCGTCGCGTAACCCTTGCGTTACGCGATCAAAGAAGCTCTCGGGAACACACCGATCCACATGATCGTGTGGAGAGCGTCTTTCCTCCTCCTCCACCTCCATTAGAGGACTCTCGCGGTGGCCAGCGCTATCTAGTTGAGCAGCTGTTGAACCACCGCGACGTGAACGGACGTCGGACGAGTTATCTCGTCCGGTGGCGCGGCTATCCCCCGTCCTGGGATTCTTGGGAGCCCCGCTCCCAACTGATGATCGACGTACTGGGTCTGGTTGATCAGTACGACGCGGCACATCCTGTGCCGCAGAAGGACCGCCGGAGAAAGTCTTCCCGGCACGGTCGTAAAGGGATTTCAGATTGTCAATCCCTTCGTACATCTCAGTAGAGATACGTACGCGCCACCACGGGCTGGTATGGAGGTAAGCCTCCTTAGGTGCTCGTGCAGAGTTGTTTACACAACATGGGCACGAGTCTCCCCAAGAGAGGTAGGGTAATCCTTTCTCCCTTGACAGACGATGCAGCTTGTAGCTTGCACCTGTCGGGATTCGCTTTTCAAACTTATCACGAGCTTTGATAAGTTTGTCGTTCCAAGCGTCACGACCTACATCCTCAAGGTTATGGATGTAGGCGTTCCACGCCTGAAGTAGTGAGGGACCATCACGTTTGTGATTCCCACTGTACCATCGATGTCTAAAGAAAGCATCGATGAAGAATTCATGTTCAGCGCGATAGTTTTTCGCGCTGGAGTCAAGGTGATGGATCCTTGACGAATCGAACAATCGTGTTCGATAACGATCACTCGTCGTCGCCGACAAGTGATCCATGACGGATTTTGGAGGCATCCATGCCTTCTTTTCTGGAGCGAGACGCAAGACATTGCGGTCCCGCTCTTCCTGCGATGTGCCGACAGAAGTACTGGCACCTCGCTGTGAAGTGGTGTCCATAGGAGAACCGACACCACTATTAGCGCGGGGGGGGGGGGGGGGGGGGGGGGGGGGGGGGGGGGGGGGGGGGGGGGGGGGGGGGGGGGGGGGGGGGGGGGGGGGGGCCCCCCCCCCCCCCCCCCCCCCCCCCCCCGAGTCTCGCGACCTCGAGCGCCTTCGCTTCGGCGATGGTTCATCTGATTCATCAGATGAACCAAAGATGCTGCGACGCAAAGCATCGTCCATGCCACGCTTGGCAGGCGGCTTAGATTCAATCGCCGTCGATACGGATCCGTCATCCGTATTAGGAGAGTACGAGACACCGAGCTCGTACTCTGTGAAGACACGAGTGTCTTCATGACCAGCGCCTGCATCACCAAGTGACACAGGCTGGGTCGCTTCAGCAACCGATGAGACATCAGTTGCTGTTGTTTCTGCTTCGGCGTCCGCACAGAGACGTGCAGACGCGCTGTCGGCGGCCTTGCTCGCGCATCGCATGGGCTTGTTTACCATGCGATAAAATGTTGGAAAGCGGACGCGGACCAACAAGTGCAAACCCTGTCCCAAATGATCTGGGACGAGTATCCATTTAGTCAATTAGTCACTAAAGTGACTGATGGTTAAGGGGGGGTGATGTAACGGGGTGAATCGTTACATAACAATTTATAAGGAATTGTTAATAGAATATAACTATAAGAGTTATATTCTCAGAATATTGTCATAAGGACAAATATTCTGTAGCACTTACGAGTAGTTCCTAATTGGTTGATATAGGCCATTATATCAACCAACGAAGACGCGCCACGACAGACGCACGCAATGAGTGGTGAGCAGATAACTGATTTACACATTTGTATTTAGACATAGTTAGATGAAGATAAATAGTGATTTATTGCAGACATTAACTATTATAAATACAGTTCTACTTTTTACTTTAACCAAGTACTCGCTTCTTCTTACCGTCTTCCTCTGCACGTACGAGTGTACGTGAAGTTACGAGGCACCGCCTTATTCTGTCATCAGAATAAGTAGCTTGTACTGTCACCAGTACAAGCTTCAGGGTGCCCCGTTACACGGCAAATGTAATTATGAACAACAACAAAGCTATGTCTTAGTATCCAAACGGAAAAAAGGCTAGGCAATACAAATTTGAAGCCATAAATTATTGCACCATGCTCCTAGTCAAACCCTTCAAACATGTTAAAACAGGATCACTGACGAGTTTCCGCCAGGCGTAGCACGAGGTGTTTGCTCCGGACCAGGTGGCGCTCGGCAATTCCGTCTTTATTCGCATCAATTGCGACTCATTAATTGGCATAGTGATCATTATCACTTCCGTCTTCATTTTTTAGCTAGTGATGCCGAGTCCTTGTCATGAGCTAGCGAATCCCAGCACAATGCCCTTGATCTCATGTAAGGACCACTTGTCTACTTTCGTAGATAGCGACCCGTAAAGCAATATACTAGGTTTTACTCATTTTAGTTTTACGTGATCACGCGGAAGGAAACCCAAGAGCATCAAGCTTTACTCGTCCAGAAGAACCTGGCCATTTCCTTCTTGCTCGTCTGTTAGCCACAGAAAGAACACCATGAATTTATAAAGGTATTGTTGCTGCCCATGTAGATCAAACGCAAAAAGTCGTCTTGTTTATTAGCACCCAGCTTTTCATGTTGCAAAATCTGTTCAATGGCTTTTACAATGTTGTATGTTTGCGTACCCAATTTAAATGCACTGTTTTTTAAATGAATGTATTAGTGATTGGAGGGTGGTGGCTGAAAACGAAAGGGTGGTGGCTCAATAACGTTTCCCTTTTCAAAAGCTTGTGATGTAGGCCATGGTGGTGGGAAATGACTATAGATAGCAGCAGATCACGGGAGCTTGCGCTGCTGCGACTGATAGGACAGTTCAAATGCCAGACCATCAGGAATATAATAGCATATTCTATCATGCCTCCTCGGACGATATGATCGCACGAAGTCTCTACACACACTTTTCCATGCATGCCAGCGAAGACTAACACTGGTCAGAGGCTCCCGTTGCATCGGAACTGGCAAAGCTGAACACTTCAACAGGATCGTAATCGCTAAGTAGCTCTGTTTAATGCAGAGATGACGTTCAAAGCGCAGTAGGTCTAGCCTAGACTGGACATGAATCGGAAAAAGCTGTTGCTGATGCAGTACAGAGTCGTACCCGCAAACTTTTGCATCGATCAAATCTCAATGCTCCCTAATAGTCACCAAAAAACACAAGGACATGCTCGAGACGAAAAGTCTGATTTGGAGCTAAAAAATCGCGAAGTGTGGATGAGCTGATGTTCTGTGTAGATATAGTTCAGATGCAAGCGAGTGATAGCCGCGGAATTATTGGTGACGACATTGCCGCAATGATGAGTAAACAATTGTACCAGATGCACACGTTTAAATTGAGATGGCTCACTTTACTGGCACGATGCGCGTAGAATTAGTCTGCACGCTGGAGCGGACCGGGCAGCGACAAATGGTGCCTAGGTATCGATTGCGTTTGCTGACTTCAATAGACCACGTAGGACGCAAATTTGGGCGAGAGATTCCATAGCTGGCAAACCACACCTACCGTAGATTGTACTTCCACTTATAATTTCGTTGCAGCAAGCACATGTTGTAAGAAAATGTCAAAGAGACGGCAACGCGAGTTAAATTGGGCGTTGCAATCGTTCCAAGGAGCATTGGACAAATGCATCGTTGTCACCAGTACGTAACGTAACGAGGGCCTTTACAATTTGTTGCCAATACATCGAACTCACTGACCGTTATCAGATTGAGGATAGCGATGCATGGTCTGCTCCTCTTTTTTTCGGAGTGCGCAGATCACATGGTAAATGAATGCTTGACTACGCAACACGGGACGGCTGCTTATTGTGCGCCACTTTACCTGTGGAGCATGAAAAGGATGGAGTTCACGATGAAAGTATTCGTAAAGAAGGAGAAATGGAGCGTCAATGAAAGCGGACGTGATACGGCGACTAGAAGAAGTGCTTCGAAGACCTAAGGGTCGGTATATTGCGCACCACGCTTGGTGGACGCAGCGTCGACTGTATAGCACGTAGGGCAGCAATACTCACAATCGTTGAGCACAGTTCTAGCTGAACAAATTTGGGTGGCAGCAGGCTCGAATATGTTGCTCGAGCGAGCTCGGTACCTTTTCACATTGAGCACAACAGAAAGTCAAGTCATCGCACCCATCAGAGACTCAAAATTTAATTTTAAACAAAAGTACTGAGTACGTTGATGCGAAGCTGATATTCGTAGGAAACGAGCGAGTACGGTTTCGTTAGATCAGCGTACATCAAAACTAACGCCATGCCGGTCGACAAATTTGTAAGCGGCTCACATGAATCAAAGTCAACAGCTTTGTGCAAAGTAAAATTTGAGCGATTCAGGAAACAGTAATGAAGCTAAACTTGAGGAGAAAAGCGGCTCAGCGAGAGGACTTGGCTTGAATAGGGCGAACACGGTGAAGACAATAATCCTGCTCTGGTAGAGGTGGAACTAGACAAGTGTAATTTGCGCTTGACAGGGTCATTGAGATTATGTAGCAATCCGAAAACTAAATGGCTCATCGATTTAACGTCACCTGACTTAATGAATACATTTCTAGCTTTCGACGAGGTGACTATGCAGCGATGTATCTGAGAGATAACGATGCATCCACAGCTACAGCAGTCACCTATTTGCATTAGAAAATTGTAGCTTTATACGTGCAGAGTCGCATAAGTCCTGATCGGTACCAAATCGACCATTTCCACCGAGGTATATGCTTCCTTTTGCACCCAGGGGATGATGGTCTTCGCCAAAACTTGACGGCATTCTGGTGTACGAACACGCGTACAGGCGGCACATTTCGCTGTGGACGTAAATTTTCGTAACGTATTCCTGGATGGCGTACAAATCTCAGTAAAGGAGTGCGGCTACATGTGCGTAGGACGGGGGGAGGTATCTGAACTACAAGTTGAACAAAGTAAAATGGTATCACCACCTAGCCCGTTTTCTTAGAGCAGGGGCGGCTTCATGGGCGTAATCTATGCATTCTGACTCCAAATTTCTGCCCATCGTCGATTTCGTGCCTTGCGTGATTCACACAAAAGCGAGTAGATGTCGTCGCATCGCGTCGATCATATGTGGTGTACTGCCAGTAGTGATCTCAGTATGAAATTTGGTCGTACCCATCGAGGCACGTCAGCCGTGTTTACAGCACACCCAGACGACAACGCACTCAACGAACTATAAGTCTGATCATCTTGCTTGTCAAAACTGATGGTCTGTCGTGGTATCGATCCCCTGTACAATAATAATTCTGCTGCTTCTGCTTACAACGACACACTTATCCCGTTTTGTCAATTCCTCAGCTCGATGATATTCCTCAGCAGTTGATCACACTAGACTATTTCTGCACCGAGACCGGCTGGTTCTGCAGCAGGGAAAGCTTCGACTCATCGTTTGCGACAAGATCCACTCGCCCTTTTATGCATTTTTCCTAGCTGTCTCAGCAGCTCACATAGTCAGCTAGCGTTGTCTTTCCCTCTCATTGCGAATACATTGCAACTATTGAATGCACCGGATTGCTGTCGCGCTACGACCAGCTGGTTTTACAGCAGCCTCAGCTTGCAGCGATCGTTGCGACAACCTCCCCTCTCGCCTTGACGGACTGTTTCCATTAATGTCGCAATAGCGCCCATGACCCAAACTTGTATCACCTCTTATTACTGATATGCGACATCTCCCAATCGTGCAAAGCTGCTGCTGCACTAGAACCAGCTGATTTCGCAGCAAGACTGGCTCGCAGATGTCGTATGCACGTAGCGTCATGTCACCCACTCCGAGTTTTTTCGTTGCTCGTGCTGTCCGTCAACTCGATCCATTCGCAAAGTTTTGAGCTCCTGAACACATTGATCGAAAGAAACACGATGAAAGTGTTCACTAGTGCAACCGCATTACTGCTGTCTTCGATCGCCCACACTGCCTCTGCAGGCTTCGTGACGACATCTGGCTCTGCATTTGAGCTAGAAGGCAACCCGTTCTACTTTCTTGGTACAAACGCGTACTGGGCCTCTGAGATCACTTGGGTAACTGCAATTACACGCTTTTGTCTGGCTCAATGATGGAGCGGGATTAACACTTTTGTGAACCTGTTTTTGCAGAGTAAAGAGGACCTGGCTACGATTTTCAATACCATGGCCGAGAACGATCTGACCGTGTGTCGAACATGGGGCTTTGCTGACCTCAACAAAACGGGCACAGCGCCGTACAACATTGTGTACCAGTTATGGGAGGGTGGTAAAGCCACCGTGAACACCGGTGACAATGGTCTTGGCTACTTTGACCAAGTGGTTGCAGCGGCCAAAGCTGCAGGGGTGAAGCTCGTCGTGCCGTTCGTGAACAACTGGTCCGACTACGGTGGCATCGGTGAGTCGAGATGTTTGCTGTTTTGGTTTGAGAAGGTGTTACTAAGCAACGGATGTGGGTATTAGACGTTTATGTGAGAGAGCTCGGAGGCAAATTCCACGACGACTTTTACACGGACGAGAAGATCAAGACGGCGTACAAGAACTTTGTCAAGACGTTCGTTAAGCGCTATGCGGATGAAGAGACGATTATGGCGTGGCAGCTATGCAACGAGTGCCGTTGCGCTGGATCCGGTGAATTCAAGGAGTCGGGCTCCTGCAACAGCACGACGCTGACGAGCTGGATAACTGAAATGTCGACGGTGAGTTTGGAATCAATTGGCTTATTCTTTCGGGTATCAGTGCTGACATCATTTGTTCATCAACGCAATCACAGTACATCAAGACGCTGGACTCGAACCACCTTGTCTCGTCAGGAAGTGAGGGATTCATGAACACGGACAAAAGCATCTACCTGTACTCCGGTCCATCGGGCGTCGACTTCGACGCCAACATTGCGATTAAAAGCATCGATTACGGTACTTACCACGCCTACCCGGACTCGTGGGGTGTGGAACCTGCAAAGGCAGAGTCGTGGGGTGTCCAGTGGATCAAAGACCACGTGTCTTCTGCCGAGAAAGTTGGCAAGCCAATTGTCCTGGAGGAATTCGGCATGAAGTCTCTTGATCCGAAGTCCTACTTGGCGTGGAGCGATGAAGTGTACTCTAGCAAGTCGAATATGCAGTACTGGCAATTTGGCGTCAAGTCGCTGAAGACGGACGACGATGGGTACGCGATCTTCGTCGGAGACAACCTCTTTTCTAAGGCTATCGGGCCCACTGCATCGAAGTTTGCGTCTCTCAGTAAATCGTCGACATCGAAGTCGAAGTCATCGGCCACCAAGAAGCTGTCTAGCAAGGCCTTGAGCTCAGCCTCGAGTGATTCCGAACAGTCGACGGGCTCAGAATCGGATGACACCGGAGATCTTGCGGACTTGCCATCGGAATCGGTATCTTCGGGTACTACCTCGCAGCCAAGCCCGGCTACCGACGCTTTGACAGAAACGGAGAGTGAGGATGAAACCGACAGTGCCGAGGTTGCTCTAGCTACTGTGCCTGCTGTTGCTGCGACTTCAACAACGGCACAAGGCACAAAATGTTCCGTTCGCCGCACTTAGCAAGTGGAGTCACGATTCGTATGAACGGATGCATATGTTTACATGAATGCGTGAATATACAGTCATTTGTACGTCGATACCTGAAATTAGCCGCTATGGACGAGACGGATGCTTGTGCATGGCTAGTTTTTGGCTCATCACGGGTGGTTCCTTCAGATTTCATAGCTAAGGTGCCTATTCATGGCACGTTGTCCTACATTTTACAGCAATGTTGATATCGCAACGTCTACATAGAACACTATGCTCGTAATCAAAGAAGTAAACTAAAGAATACGGTGCATTGCGCTCAAAGACAGTCCGCGTCAAGATGATTACCATCCACAGTAAATTACTCGTCCATTTCACTGCTGACCCGCTTGATTTAAACTTTGTACGCAGGTGGTCTGATCTTGTTTGTAAGGTCCGATACGTAGCGCCACTATCTTCTTTTTCTTCCACAAAGCAGTATCAACAATTTGGCACTAGCATCGTCCACGCTGCATGTTAACTTCCTTGCCGTGTTCCTTGATTTGTTGTAGACATCTAAGGATACGTCACATCAAGAGATGTTGATAATATCTGATTGTCTACTCACTCACTGACATCGTTACATAAAAGACCGACGTAGGTACCTGAGCTCCTTAGTTCTGAACTTAGGGCAGCTCTACACTGAAAAAGGTAATTTATTGTATCATCGTGTCGGTAAGACCAAGTAGAAAATCTAACAGATGATTGGTATCCTGTCTGCATTTAACGCGAGTCATCATGGTCACCATTGGGACACGCAACACAATTGCTCAGAATGATATTGCTGCAGCGTAACAATACCAATACCCGTCACTCTTTATCCAACCTATGCACGAATATGAAAGGGAACTCGTTGTCGTAATAAAGCAACATGGTAAGCTTTAAATTTAGCTAAATATTTAGACTTGACCGTATCATTGTAGACAGCGCCATGGCTTCTACGTTTCTTATTACGACTTTTTACACCTTATTTTTGCAATCTTGAAATAAAAGTCAATTTATTGTAGGGGCGCGGTTGAGTAAGCAACGCAGAATCTAGATTCAAACAGCAATAAAAGGTCGTACTCATATTCTCGCATAATTTTCTGAAGCAGAATGGTGAGAACAAGTAGTGTTTTTGTGCTGTGTGCATGTCGTCCTTTACCTGTTTCCCCCAAATGACGAAGTAAGCCGTCCGTTGCCACTAACATGTGTACTCGTGTCGAGTTTATTAGGCTTGTAGGTATGTTGTTGATAGGGTTTGCCGATCAAGATGCCACATAAAGCAGATGAGTAAGTGAGAAAATTCGGTGTATATGCAAGAAGATGTGACTCCGTGCAAAAGGATATATTTACAAATTTTGTTAACGTCAACGTCCAATTTGAATCACAACCACCAAGCGGCATTGAGCACTGTCAGTCTATATTTATTAATGTGGCACTTTTATATCTTGCACATTAATCTTGATACGAACCCGTGTCTCGTCATCTCCATTTGTTCGTTGTAAATTACGATGATTTTTCGATTATTAAAGTTTCCTGGAATCGTACAGGGTGGCGCCCGCAATTTTAAGGGGCGTCCATACCGTACTCGTTTTGCATCGAAGTAGCATTGCTAGGATTCGTATCTTCTACTTTCAGAAACGGGATGCAGAATATCTGTGTATAGTCTGTCGACAACTTTTGCTTCGACAATTTAAAAGAGAAGTGTTGTCAAGTGGTTTTTGCGTGGACTGCAGCAACAGCTGAAGTCGTTTATTTGCAGAAGGCAGTAAGTCAAGTTGAATGTCTTTTCGATAGCAGCAGACATGCCTAGCAATGACGTGGGCGCGAAAATGTTGAGCCCTTTTGCAGATTTTGACTTGGACATGCTAAGTTGCCTCTTTCTCACGATCAATGTGGGGCTCATGAGCGATGAGTAATTGATCGCCGCTTGCGCACAAAGGTAATCTACAATTTAGCGACAAAGCCACTTTTCACTCAGTAAAACGTTGATGCCTGGCATCCCAAATTTTATTATTCGACCACATCGCTTTATCTAGAGCTGGGGGAGCGAAGTCGATCATTTAATGAATCCGACGGAAAAAGATTCTCGCACATAGCAGATGCATTATGTATGGTGACGAAAGCTGTCCTCCAGAGCAGAGCTTTTGGGCTATAGAAGATGGTACATTTGTTGCTGCGTTGAAAGCTGCTACAAAGTTTGTTTTTAACATGCTTCTTTATGTTTTTTTACGTTTGTGATGTCAATCAATAATCAACCTGTCCGATGATCGGATACTAGTTTTCATCATGAACAGTGAGTGGTGGCATCAGAAATCGTTTCTGATAACTCGTAATCTGAGTGCCCACCAACTGCATTCATTTAGTCACGAAAGTTGTCCTAGGTCTTCGCTTGCACATAACATTACAAGAGCTCGTTGCAAGTATTGATACGTAAAAGTGATAGAATATCACCGTTGATTGAGACAGCCAATCTGGCGATATTTCCTTGAGTGGTCAGGCTATTTTTCTGGTAAGCCGCAGCTACGAGTAAGACGAATTTGTGTATCTGCGCGTACTTTACCAATTGGTTTGTACGGCTTGTATTGTATGTATGTAATTTTTGTGTGTTGCGGATAAGACGTTTCATTCTATCCACATATCCTCTACAACGTCGCGTGCATTTTGTAATCCATTCCTGACGTTAGTTACCCTTACGCTGCATGCGCGAAATAGGAGGATAAGATCCATTTAATTAGGTAAGCTATTGATATCATAGCTTAAAAACGATCAGATTATGCCGTATCATCCAATCCAAATGTGCAGACCTGTAGCTGTATGCGCACGCCATGCAGCTAAGATGCACATTTCCATTCCATCTTGTTTCGAATTGAAGGATAAGTTGATTGCCCTGGCTATTTAAGTAATCCCGATTATTGATCACAGAAGTTGCAATGAACGTAAGTGCTTGAATGAATAGCCAAATCACAAAATTCTTGTGACAAGAGCACAGTGAATTCTATTAGCATAGCACATGTAGCAATAATGTGGAATGATGACCAGTCGTAAAGGTTGGAATTTACATATCTCCAAAAGCGATTTTCATTCGTTGCGACTGCACCTTCTGTGCAATTTAGAATCCCAATACTGAGCAAATAATTCGCCATGAATCCACATTTCCAGCACATGACACACCTCTGCGAAAATCACATCACAAGTTAGCTGCACGGATGGAAACGTTACCATGTTCATGGGTCCGAGCAACAAAAATTTTCATCACATTTCTATTTTCTTGTGCACAAAATGTCGCTAGCACTTTCAAATGTTGTTTGAAGAATTACTTTTCTGTGTACAGATTCGTAATTTTTGTCGTTTGTAAATTGGTAAAGCTACAGCGCTATGCAAGATTATCACCAGCATGTTGCGTTAACAATCAGAAATTTGCTGTGTGCTCGAGACGGCATTATTATAATGTGCACGTTCTTACGCATACACAAGGCTTTAGCATTTGCGAGCTCCTCTTAGTAGAGACAAAGGCACAGGTTGTAATAGCGAGCCCTCGAGTTTAGACGGGCACACACTCAAGATAATCGAAGCAGGTCGCTTGTCATCGGCTTGTGAAGTGCGACATCGGCATTTTGATTTTTGCTTTGTACCACTAGAAACCGCCATTGCCAAAGTGGCGATAAGCTCAATGGGTAACGTTGGGTCCGACTGTCGCCCTCATGGCCTCAAAGTGCGCTGCTACGACTATAATGTGGTGCGAGTATTTTGTCGAGTGAGGGCGAGCTGCAGGCGGGAGTGAACTAACGTACGAATAAACACCTAGGTCTACAATAGTTGGGCGAATGGAATTGCTATGTCTGTCGCTAGCAGTTATGTGACGCTATCACCACATCGTCAAAGCTGCAGCTTGCCTGATGCTTATCTTTTTGCGCACCGTAACAACGCTATTTTGCAATTACAGACGAAAACGCTTGACCCCGCTGCAAGCACAATTTCATTTAAAACATGAATAATAGCATCGAGAGAAGCGAGCTTGTGTGTAGCTTTCTTCAACAACAATCGACTTATCCAATGGACGCGGCCGAAAGCTTTGTGTAACGTAAGGTTTTAAGAATGAGCGAAGAAAATGACGATGGTACGGCCGTTTTGTTCCAATGCCAGTATCTTCTTCAACACCCGTATCGTGACACGACCGTAGTACACATGCTCAACACAACAGCGTATTTGAGTAGTACGTTACGACTTTCTGACGGGTTCGAAATTGCTTTGTTTCGACTTGTTGGATGTCGGCGATCGGGTAACGATCGTGCATATCCGACGTCGAGTCGGTCGTTTAGGATTTTATTAGTGAGCGGGAGCCCGATTACAATGGACGACCGATGGTAATACGCGTGCGATATCAACGTATAACTGCGAGCACATTGCACTGTCGCCTGTGAATGTGGAATGGCATACGTGGGATGAACATCGATAGTTGACACGGTCAGCAGCTTTAGATTTGCCGTACATTAACCAACACGTGATGGTGTAGATAACGAGCGCGATAAAGACTCATAAACTTTTTTCTACGATCGAGAATTGGTCCAGGGACGATGGAAGAAGCGAATAATTACTGTAGGAAGTGGGTGAAGTTTAAGCAGTTGATTTGTCAAATGAGTCATGAGCGACCCAGTGAGCGATTTGACAAGGCGAGAGGTCCACAGCAGCGACGCAAGAGGAATAGCTAATGCAGATACAAGACCATTAGCAGAGCAGTTGAGGAGAAGGGCACGATAACAATGCATCATGCAGGTTCGTCGCCACTTTGAATGCAATGAAGACACAGCCAGTTCATATCGGCTCATAGTGTATGGTTCCGCACATTTCTACGAAAAGCGGTGACTACAAAAGCGCCGTACGAGATTGCAGATGCTCGAACGGTGCTGTAGGTCTCCGCTAAACCGCAAAAGACATGGACCTTGTGCTTGCATAGACGGTGGCACAAACATGAAAGATAACGAATCAAGCATGCAAAGTGATGCCATTGAATGCGGGCTGCTCTTCCCGACGTTAGCGTATATATCGGACTACATTCAGAAATCCCCACCAAAATCTCCACCTCCTCCATCAAAACCACCTCCATTATCAAACCCACCTCCACCATCAAAGCTACCTCCATAACCATACGAATCGCCGTGATCAGCTAGCGCCCCTCCAAGCATCAGTCCACCAATTAGACCGGCCGTTCCACCTAGTGCTGCACCCGTGCCAGCTCCCATGCCACCGCCACTTCTACCTTGGCCGTAGTAACTGCTGTTCATGCGCGATGTGGCAGTACGCACAGGTTCGTATGGAGTGCCAGCATACGCGGCCGAGGTGGTCTCACACGGCTGGCTCGACAAATTTTCAGTAACGGGACTCGCTACAGGAGCTGCAAATGGAATGGCATTCCTTTGGTCTTTCATTCGCTTGGCCATCATGAAACAGCTGCCACAGCAACACAGAAGCAGCGCGAGCGACCCGAGCAGAGTCCACAGCCATAAGAGATTTTCTCCTCCATGACGTGCGCGATAGGGGTATGCGTTTCCAGCATCATTACAGTTACATGCGTAATTAGAGACCCTGCAGACGCTGTTGTCTGGACAGCAGCACGGGCGCCGTGCATTTTGGCGGTCGAGCCAGTGGCCGCAGAACTGACCCGCTGTGTCTCGATAGGCCTGAGAGCAGTCACCAGTACTTGCACACACTTCACAACCAGATTGCGTGGCGTTACTTTGCCCTAACGCAGGACCGACTAGTGCTGCCAGGAGCAGTAGAGCGGTCCACATACCAAGCATGGCTACGTATCGATTATGCACTCGAGTGTTCTTCCTCTCGATCCCTTTCGCAAGGAGGAGGGAGGAATTCTCGTCCCAGTCTGCATGGATTGACAGGGGTCGACTATAGCCATCAATCTGCCAGGAATATAAGTAAAAGGAGTCGAGATTGATTTAGCGCAGCTAAGTGGCGACGAGGTGAAAGCTCATAAGTGGTGGTGGAGGCAACCTTTTTGAATGCTCGTCATGTCAAGTACGTATGTGTACAGCAGGTACTACGCATGTACGTCACCGTTACTAACAAGTTACAGTGGGGCACGTACGTGTCGATGCATCGCAACTGCTTTCCGCTAACGAGTATCTTGATGAGGTGCTCGTGTAGTTGCGAACGTATATCAAGATCAGGTGTTGTTACCTCGCGCGAGAGACACAGTCGAGTGTAGTTGTCAGGTCATTGGCATGATCGGTATCAAGATCAGGTGTCGTTCTCTCGTGCGGGAGACTCAGTCGAGCGTGGCCATCATGACTGTAGTATACCACGTGACACGAAATGCAGCAACGGTGGTACATCGTCGTCGGGTCGCGCTTCACTAGACGACGAAGGTAAAGAAGTGCACCATCCTATTGGCTTTCGTATGTGAGGAAGGCGAACCGATGCATCGTATCTGGATCCGTCGCGTCGCGTCGCGTCGTGCGGCACAATTAAGCGACCGATTCGACGCTGGATTTTCAGCAAGCGCTAGTCTGGCTGCTGTGACCCTTCGGTGGCGCTCACAATCAGACGTACGAACGTGATGCTGGAAAGGGTCTTTAGATGGTCTGCTCGATTGGTGGCGTCCAGTCGGCAACGAAACCGCTCTCGGTCTCCTTAGTCGACGCATTTCAGTGCAAACAGATAGCACCGGGCGTAGGGTGCGCCTTGAACGTTCCGGTGCAGCAGTCAATCGATCAAACGAGGTGCTTGCGACACGTAGATCATCAGAATTCTACCCTTTTCGTAAACACTCATCGACATCGGAGCCGCTCACATGTCTTGATTCTAGTATACCCTACATCTCGACTAGAAGCAATAGTGGCTTGTTGTTGCGCAGGAGACGAGTCAGGCGGGCGTCCCCCCCCCCGGCTCTAAGAAACAAGGCCACGTTCATGCCTGGCCTAGCTGTCTTCTGCAACCACACAGACTCAAGCTCGGATCATCTGTCTGAATGTGCGAACGTATCGCATTGTGGACCAGCTCGTCGTTTGCCTGAGTCCCTTCACAGTTCATAAGCTAATCGACCGTGTCCCTTTAAATGGTCACGCTCCAAACAGCCGACCGCTTTCTCTTTGTGCAAAGCAGTCAGCGCAAGCAGCCGTTGACATGAATCGGCACAAGTTGAATCGGCTCTGGGCGTGCTTGAGGCGGCTGGTTTTGGCTCTCGGCCGAGCCACAGAAGTTTTCAGGTCTCGCACCCGCTGCCGTCTCCTCGTGCTTTGTCCACGTCGATAAGACGGCTACCAGCTGAGCGCGATTTCCCCCTGTCCTGTGCTCCGCACGCACGTACTCGCTCCTATACGATTTGGCGACTGACGCACTAGATTGTTCGATCGTCGTTCAAAAGACCTATCGCGACGACAAAAAGCCCCTTCTAACCATGTGACCAATTAATTGGCTCTCCTCCCAAACGCTGTAGGTGATGGTTCTCGAGAGACGCCAAAGGGTGTGTTTAGTACGACAGTTGGAGTCGCAAGGCTGGCTGTCGACCTTCGAATGAGGGAGTGTCTCCATCCAAGCGACGCGTGTGATGCGAAAGTCGTGGGCTGATATGATGTCCATAGGTAGTCATCATAAGGCGAGCACGTGTAGAGAAGCTGTCAATAGTGAAAAGTTATGAGGTGGCACAAGCCGAAGCCCTCTATGAAACATTTGAGGCCCGTTGCCGCGTCATACGGAGGCCGTTGGTGCACATCGATTGGATCTTCGTGCCTCTTATTCCCACGCCGCCTGCTTTCCCCCTTTCGAACTCGTCAACAACTACAAGACCTCGCAATGCAAGACGCAGGTCGCAGGAACAAAAACGCTCGTGTTCCACGTGGCCGAAGAAACACGCCACGAAACCTCAGGCGCGCACTCGAAACGCCTCGAGTGTCCACGTTCTGGCACGTGTATCATCTTTGAAGAAGCGGGGCGACAGGTAGAGGAGGTACTTGCTGATTCAGAAAACGGCCAGTCGCGTAGAAACGGGCGGCCCCTGCTTCGTCTGTGCGCCCGCCTGTCTCCCACCTCGAGGGCACGACAGCCGCTGCCGGCCGCTCGGTTGTCATTCCGCAAGTTGCTAGCAACTCGACACACACTCCTCCCTGTCGCCGCATTGTAAATCCGCCAGTCCGGCGACCCCCGAGCGCATCTAAATTTAGCCCTCGTCCTCCGTCCGTCCGGCCGTGCGTCCGCCCCACCACCACGTCTCCGTGTTACACCCTCCCCCCTCTCCCCCTCGTCCTCTCTCTCTCTCTCTCTCTCTCCCCCCTCTCCCCTCCCCTCTCTCTCCAATCACGCTTTCCCCTTTCCCCTCGAGCGGCCTCGTCTACGCAAGTCTCACGTTGTAGCCATCCCCTTCCCCAATGAGCACGGCATCCCGCAGCCCGAGCGCGTCCCCCAGCGGCAGTAGCGACGACGGCGCGTCGTCCTCGTCCCCCCGCAGCGCCAGCCCCGACCCCCACCACCGCCTCCCTCATCGCGTCGCCACGGACGGCAAGCCCAGGAAGTGCCGCTTCAACGACTGCGACAACCTCGCCGTGGACGGCACGAGCAAGTGCGCGTTCCACAAGAACCGCCGCCAGTGCTGCGTGGCCAACTGCACGAACCAAGTGTACGCGCGCAAGCTGTGCGTCCGCCACGGCGGCAAGAAACAGTGTCAAGCCGAGAGCTGCGACGCGCACGCGCGCGGGGGCGGCTTCTGTCTCCAGCACGGCGGCTTTGTCGTCAAGCGCTTCTGCATCGTCGAAGGCTGTTCCAAGCAGGCGCACGCGCGGCAAAAGTGCGTGCGCCACGGCGGTGGTCGCCGCTGCAAAGTCGACGGCTGCATGCAACACGCGCGCGCCGGGGGGCTGTGCAACCGCCACTCGCACGGCCACGAGTGCCGCGTCGACGGCTGCAACAAGACGGCGCAGCACTCGGGCTCCATCTGTTTCCGCCATGCCATGGAGCTGCGCGCGCACGGGGAAGAAGTGCCGGAGCTCAACATCTCCAAGGGCGGGCGACTGAGCAGCAAGAAGCGCATGCAGCAGCAACGCGAGCAGCGGCTCAAGCAGGAGCAGTTCCACCACCTGCAGCTCCAGCACCAGCAGATCTACCCGCCGTCGTCGTCCCACTTTATGCACCACCACCAGCATCAGCCTCAACATCCGCAGCAGCATCCACATCCGCAGCATCAGCAACAGCAGCAGCAATCGCTGTCGATTCAGGTCCCGCAGAGCCAGTCCATGCAGAGCCAGCACCCGCAGCCATCCAGTGCGTCGAATCCGTTCGGGCTGCCGCTGAAGATCAACGTGCCGTCGACGATGCCCAAGTTTAGTCTGCGCACGCCGTTGGGCAACAGTTTTCCCACGCCGCGGAGTCACGAGTTCTCGCTGCTCATGGGGCTCCCGTCGCCGCAGATTGACAACTCGCAGCTGCCGAGTGTTTTGGCCATGACGAGCGCGGGCGCGAGCGCCGGTATGACGACCACTAGCGGCCAGCGTACGCCTGGCATTGACAGTTTCCTGGCCAGCAGCGGTCCACCCAGTGTCTCCCGCGGCATTGGGAGCAACTTTTTGTCGCTGGGGCTGTTTCCGACCCCGCGACTGTCGGACCGGACGCCTGGAGGCAATGAAGACACGATGATGAGCGACTATATGAAGCTCATGGGCGGTCCTGACACGCCTATGACGTTCCACGCGAACGGGGGGCACTTTGGTGCGACGCCATTGCTCGAGAACATTGGCGCGAACGTGTTTGAGCACAGTCAAAGCCACGGAACGAATGGCTCGAGGAATCACATGGCGGCGATCGCTGCTGGAGCTGCAGTGCACAATAGCGGCCAGCAGCGCATGAAGATGGACTTTCTGTCGCCACGTGGATTGGCGTCGCACAGCTTCCAGAGCGCGGGGTTTCCCACGTCAACGTCGTCAAGTGAAGGCATGAGTTCTAGTGCCACCTTATCTGCTACAACAGATTATGCTGCGCAGTTTTTTGCGGATACCAAGAGCGACAAGGTGCGTGGCCATCTGAAGACGTCGTCCGTCTCTGCTACTACGGCAGCTACGCCGAAACCCACAGGCGTCACCGCTGCATAGGCCGAGGGAAGCCAGTGGGTGTGTTTGGTTATGTGGAGGTCCATGTACATTGTGGATATGGTTAAGTGACGTCTGGAACGATGGAACACGCGTGAACGAAGAGCTCGACGGTGCGAGGTCAGTTCGTTCCCAAGGACAGTCTAATGTGGTGTAAATACCTGCACGGATGACTGGATTCGATGAATCGTGGGTGGGTGCAGCTCGACGGGGGACACGGCGCGCCCCTCAACCTTTTTGCACGATCAAGCTCTCAGCGTCTAATAGAATTGAGTCTGCCGATTGTACGGACTCGGACAAAGTTTTGGCCCTACAGATATAGTACGGATGAAAGTAATGTAAGTTTGACGATTTTGCTGTGACGTTTGCGATCCTGATTTTGTTCACGGAGATCGATGACAGATCGGACTCTCCGTGTGCACGACATGCCCAGTCGGGTCATGTGGATGGCATTGAAGCCGTCAATTTAAGCTGAAACGGACGGGTCGACTAAGCCTCGCTATGTGCGGATTTACCCGAGCCATGATTTTAGGATAAGCAAAGTTAGCGTGCAAGTAACGTGCTTGAAGGATCATGTTAGTCACGAGATGCTTTTCCGCGTTGACTTGACGACTTCCCAGTCGTGGTGTTGCAATTTTGCAATTGTGATGTTGCTGCATTATTGTGACGGGGTGAGCTTGTTTCCTGTTGTCAACCCTTGCTGATTAGAATCCTGTCATAAAGGCTGAACGATGGACGCGCGCAATGGGTGGTGAGCAAGACTTTAGCATACATTTTTGCTAGCAAATATAATTACGTTAGGACTAAAACATAGGTTAATGATAGGACTTAATTATTGGGAAACGTTTTCCACCCGCCAGATTTCCGCTAACCACGCCCCTCTCCTATATATTACCGTTATTTATTAGAATTGTTCATTCTGATTGGTAAGATTGAGAAATGATCGTTCCCTGAAGTAATTTACAATCTTGTTCACAAATGATAAAATACGAGATCCGTGTATTTTTCGCATGTCTTTAAGTCGGCGACGTGTAATAATAAACTATTTAGCTACTTCCTTCATTTTACACTGAAACCCGAGCATCACGGAGTGGCAGCAGCTGACGTTGGAACAAAATTCGAGTTGAGCACACTCAACTGGTTCTATTGCATATAGCTCACATATAAGGGTGGTGAGCGGCTTACGAAAACCTTGTGGTTGTGTAATTTTGCCGACCTGCCTCTTGGATACAATGTGACTCTCGCTCGTCGCTTGCAGCCGTACATTTGTTGAGCTTACGCTTCTCGATCCTACACCACATCAGCGATCGAAGACGATGAAAAGTGTTACTGCATTGATGTAAAGTGTAATCCACTAAAAGCTCTTGTAATAATCACGCCGTCCAGCCATATACCAGTGCGCCGCCTTAAAATCTTCTTTTGTGGCGAACCGAATTAGCAACCCGCAAATACATCTGTCCCTTTCCGACGACACTTCATCCTTAAACGTGCACCAGAGTCTTGCGATGGCTTCGTCGTGCTCTCCCCTTGTACGTACTTGAATAAAAAGACAACTGCCGCGGGGTGGTTAGTTGTGAACGATTTGCAATAGAACCAGGTGAGTGTACTTACCACACGTCAAATATTGTCTCAACCATCAGTTGCCGCCACTCCGTGCTGCTCGGATTTTAGTGTATTGTAGAGGAAGTAGCTGAATAATGTATTGTGCTTTTCCCAGTACGAGTACCTCCAACTTGCCAATTTTCCAGATCTAGTACCTTTCCCAATTGTAGTACTAGTACCTCCCAATACTATGTGCGGCTGTACTAAAATACACCACATTGTAAAATTGTTGACAACACGCACCCGCTCATCAGTATGTGTCAAATTTATGGGACGACAGAGCTTTCGATAGGACAAAGGTTTATAAGTCCAGGTTCAAGGCCACACCATTACTTCAAGACGACTGCTTGGATGCAAACAGGACGTGCATCATGACAGAGAATTACAAAGGTTTATTAGTCCCCATCGTGAACAGTGTTTCACAGAGCACTACATTAATAGATGTTTCTATCGTTAGCATGGCTCCGACTCACTTTGCTCATCAACCATTTAGAGTGTGACATTGAAGATTTAAGACTTCAATATTTAATGCGAGTCAACAATGCTTGGGACGCGTCAATGTCGAGCGAAAATTTAAGCAATACAAATTATACGAGTCACGTGTTACTAAAGCGACTCAGCCTTACAAACAAAGTACTAAAGAGTTAAGTCAAGTAAAGCACTGGGGTATATCCAAAAAACACAGTGACATTGGCCACTTCTTGACAGTCTATTCGAAAACATTCGATGAGCGTATGACTAATGGCGCTAAGCGATTAATTAGCATTTATGTTGTTCCTACATAATACCGCACGACTTGGCATGAACCGAGTCCGTCACACGGCGCTGATCTTCGTCACTACCAGACCTTGTTGCATCTGCAGTCATGTGGCTGTAACTGTAGTGTTAGCATCAAATACATCATACGCTCTGGTGTTCAATCACACTTACGGATCGCACTTAAATTTATCTCTGCCACAGCACTCATGATATGCACACAAGAGAACTGCAAAACCCCGTAAGACAAAACACCTTTTGCTCGTTAGCATTAGTAAATTTGCGTGATACAAAACCTTTATTCCAGGATACACCTTACGTACGTTTATACTGTCCTTTACCCGCGATCTACTCACAACTTCCTGCAGTCCTTCCTTTACTTATTTGTGATGCGTGAAACCTAGTTATACTACAGCGTTATAGTAATCAGTTAGCTATCGGCAACTTCTCAATCAAAGCCAAAGAGCGCATCTCAAATATGCGTACTTAGTACGGACCTTTTATAGTCCATAGTGGGTGGTTGTCGTCCTTAACGACAAGCTTTTGGTAGTTCACCAGTCTTTTCAAAACAGTTGATCAAACTTGGCCTGTAAAACTCATTAATTTGAGCTTACCCTTGTAAATGTTAGCACTTCGTAGACCGATGTCTGCGCGCATGAGATGCGAATGTCATGGGCCTGTTAAATAGAATTTGGTTTCAATGGGTTGTCAGCCATTTTACTATGTTATTTAATATAGTATAGCCACACAATATTGGGAAGTAGTGGAACCACAATTGGGAAAGGGTACTAGAGCTGGGAAATTGGCAAGTTAGGGGTTCTTGTAGTGAAAAAAGCATAAAACATAACCCCACGTCGCCAGCTTAATGACATGCGTGTTATATTCAAATCTCGAGTTCAACAATTTGTGACCGAGGTTGTAGATTACTTCTGAGAACTTTGATGTTGGCATTTATACCGATCGAAAGGCGTAAAATGCAATAATGACGGTAACAAACAGGGGAGGCGGGGTTATTGTTACCCTAATAATGTTTTTTACAGTTTACTTTTACCATCAACTAGTCAGATTTAGTTGCATTTCTTTTCTCTACCCAATTGTAGAGGTTGCGAGGCACCGCTCACGCTGATGTCGAAGATAGTAGCTATATAAATTTTGTCCAGTGTGTTGCTCTGGTGCCCCATTACACCTGGTAGAACTTTGAAGTCCAACAAGAACCGCACAACCTGCTTAACATGAACGTGTTGGACGATGCAGATGACTAAACCTTTCACGCCACTGGTTTAAAATTACTTTTTTGCAGATATTAAGACTCTGCTCAGCCAAACGGATGAGCCGCTAAGAATGAGTGTAAATTTTCGATTTTTTTACTGAAGAAATTAAAGGTATTCGTGACGCTAAAGACTACGCTCAGCACGTTTATTGCCTTGTAGACTGCGTGGTGGCGAACCCTGTTAGTGAATTCGTATTGATCACAACATTCTTACAGGGCCTTACTGATTGCCTTGTGAGGAACCGCCTGTTCAACATCGATTTAAAGTTGCTTGTGGAAGCAATTACTTCTGCGGTGCAAGAGAGGTTTTTAGTGTGATACAGGTTCACACTAGCTTAAACCCTTTTCTTTCTTTTCTTTCTTCAAGATGAGTAGAGGCGGGAAGTACAGAAATAATGGACCTCTTCATTGTTGAGAGCGAAAAACCTTGCTTCATCAAACAGGAAGCGATTGCGAAAGAGCAATCGCTAGCATAATCTAAAACAATGCGCTTACGGGCGTGGCGTCTAGCGGCCAGTTTCTCGGAACGCTGTCCAAACTTTTTGACCATTTGCCAATAAGGGCAACGAACGCTGTTCCTAAAACACTGCGCTTACGGGCGTGGCGTCTAGCGGCCAGTTTCTCGGAACGCTGTTCAAACTTTTCGACCATTTGCCAATAAGGGCAACGAACGCTGTTCCTACATTGTTTCAAAATTGCAACAGCGTAGCGGACCACAAAAAATATGGTCAGGATCAGTAGGGGCGGAGCGCTTTACTTATTCGTAAATCTTAATAGAATCGGCAAATCTCTCGATAAGAGAATCACAATCACTGTGTGTCTCCTCACTAGGTAATGAGACACTCTTCATCGCCTTGAAATTAGAAGTGACAGAAGATTTTTACCTCATGCCCTAGTAAACTGTGGGGTGCCAAACGACATTTTCGTCGCCTGTTGCTAGAGGATCGTCGACTCAAGTTTCTTGTGCACGATATCCCTCCTAAGAGGATGACGGTGCAACTTGCAACAGGCGCATCGATACCAGTGATGAAACATTTTGTGGTAATTTACTACACGTTATAAGGTTCGCAGTGCTACGATGCTTACATCGTACTTGATTCGGATGACAAGTTTGATGTCATTCTAGGGTTAACCTGGATCAGAAGGTACGAACCAAAAGTCAGCTGGTAGCATCAAACCGTAAAGATGCCTGCCACTTGTTCATCATACGGCCATCTGGTGAACTTCTTGGAGCGTCCACAAGCGTGTGCATATAGTGCGGATGAGTTCGATGGTATCATTTACGGTACGGTCGCTAGTACGAATGCACAAGATCACACTGTGGCAACCAATCAAACTGTGGAGGGAGCTGCCGGTGGCTGTGCGGATGCACAGG